GGGCCATAATAATCAACCACATTGTATATTGACAAAATAAAAATTTAAAGAAAAAAAAAATTTAGATAACTACCTGTAAAAAAAAAAAAAAAGAATTGGTAGAAGATGGAATTGAAAGTACAGATGAAATGAAGGATTTGCAATGAAAGAGAGATTGCTGGTCTGGAGAGTGGTAGGGGTAGATGAATAATATTTGGAAATAGAAGTTTTCAGATGAAAGAATTTGAATTTTAAAAATATAAGGTCAAGAGTAAAATTGGATAAGATTGAAACCATAAACATGGGGAAAAGAGCATAAGAAGCATGAAATCTGCATGTTGTATGAATGCTCGGATGAAGGAGATAATTTGTTACAGATTTGTAACCCCCTTCCTACATCCCTATTAGTAAAGGGAAGTTCATCCAGTTTCATTCAGCCGTTTTGCTCAGGGTTTTTCTATGAGACTTCTGCGGTTTTTTGCCTTGGTATAGAAGTAGACAAAGTAATTGTGAGTATGAACCCTATAAGCAAATTGCACTCAGGATAAATTTTATACCAGTTGGATAAGCAGACAGAACATTAGAACAATGATAAGATATAAAATACTGATGTTTTCTTTCATTTCATGATTTTTTTCTAGCTATATATACTACTAATATTGTTTATAAATATATTCACTATGGCTCCCAATTTGTTGATTTAATTTTTCGCAGCTGTTTTTCAGAAAAATAGCAAAAATGATCAATAGCAGCTACTTTGGTGGGTTTATACTCCTTGGGTTCCCTGGGAAGCCTCAGCTGGAAATGATCATCTCTGGGGTTGTCTTTTTCTTCTACACCATCGCCTTGATGGGAAATATGGCCATTATCCTGCTGCCATTACTGGATGAACATCTCCAAACCCCCATGTACTTCTTTCTTAGAAATTTGGCCGTCTTGGATCTCTGTTATACCACAAATATAGTTCCTCAGATGTTGGTCAATGTCTGGGGCAAAGATAAGAAAATCACTTTTGGTGGCTGTGCCTTTCAACTCTTCACTGATGTGATGCTATGTACAGTTGAATGTATGCTTCTTGCTGTGATGTCTTATGACCGATTCAATGCTATCTGCAAGCCTTTGCATTACATGACCGTGATGAGCCCCCAACTCTGTCGAGGACTGGTGGCCATGACTTGGGTAATTGGTATCACTAATTGCATGATACTTTCCCCCTATGCCATGAGTCTTTCTCGATGTGGGAACCATCACCTGGATCACTATTTTTGTGAAATATCTGCAATGGTCAAGATTGCATGTGTGGACACCACAGCCATGGAGGAAACCTTATTTGCACTGTGTTTTTTTATTTTCCTTGCACCACTTCTTCTCGTTCTCGTTTCATATGGCTTCATTGCTGTAGCCATACTGAAAATCAAGTCTACAGCAGGAAGACAAAAAGCGTTTGGAACCTGTTCCTCCCATCTCATTGTGGTATCCATCTTCTATGGGACTGTTATCTACATGTACATACAGCCAGGAAACAGTCCATCTCAGGATGAGGCCAAACTTCTCAGTATCTTCTATTCCATTGTTACTCCCAGCTTGAACCCACTGATCTATACACTAAGGAATAAGGAGTTCAAAGGGGCTATGAAGAGGCTGATTGGAAAATAAAAAGGTTTTGGAAACACGATAAAACACTAACATCTTTTTACAAGAAATTTCCAATAAAGAAATTGGTCCCGTCTAACCTTTATATCATAGTCAACTTATTTTAGGAGTAATCATCAGCTGAAAAAGAATATTTCACTTATATTGTTGTCCCTCATTTCAAAGGTTGATTCTTTAGAAGACTAATAATGTCTCTCAAAGTCACTGATTATCACCTTTGACAATCCATCCACAGTTGTGACATCAAAGAAGTCTCCGTAAAGTCTAAGGGGTTATATCGAAAGGGGGCATTCTCCAAAAGTTGGATTCAAATTATGATTTATTACATCTTTAAACTATCATAACACTGTAATATAAATGCATAAATTCAGGTGCCAAGTATAAATTTTTACTATTGTGTACTCATCAATCTTTTTATATTAAGAGTAAAACAGTTCTGTGCATATCCNATAAAACACTAACATCTTTTTACAAGAAATTTCCAATAAAGAAATTGGTCCCGTCTAACCTTTATATCATAGTCAACTTATTTTAGGAGTAATCATCAGCTGAAAAAGAATATTTCACTTATATTGTTGTCCCTCATTTCAAAGGTTGATTCTTTAGAAGACTAATAATGTCTCTCAAAGTCACTGATTATCACCTTTGACAATCCATCCACAGTTGTGACATCAAAGAAGTCTCCGTAAAGTCTAAGGGGTTATATCGAAAGGGGGCATTCTCCAAAAGTTGGATTCAAATTATGATTTATTACATCTTTAAACTATCATAACACTGTAATATAAATGCATAAATTCAGGTGCCAAGTATAAATTTTTACTATTGTGTACTCATCAATCTTTTTATATTAAGAGTAAAACAGTTCTGTGCATATCCCAAACACTCCTGCCATCTCTACCTACTTTAATAGAACCGTGATATATTAAGTTAACTGATGAAAATATATTTTTATTAGTGATTATTTTCTGCATGAATAGGGACTTTCTCAAAAATATTCTACTAAAATAAAATGTAGGAATAAATTGGATACAGATGTTGATATGATGACCATGTTAATAAATAATCCTTGGTTTCAAAATTTAGTGTTCATCTAAGAGCTTCATTAATCTTTTATGTAAGTTGGTAGTAAGCAAATATTATATATTTATTAACTCTTTTTATAGGGGCAGTATAAACTAGATTTGAAAACATTACAATAAAAGAAAAAAGAAACATGTTTACCAATATCTCTCATGAACACAGATGAATAATCCCTAATAAAACAGAAACAAATCAAATCCAGAAATGAAGAAAGATAATACAACCCAATCACGTGTATTTACTCCAACCATGCAAGGTTGGGTTAACATTTGAATATCAGTTGCCACTTTATTCTGTTAATGTAATCCATGATATTGACAGAATAAAAGTGAAAAACAATAAGATAGAAAAGCATTTTTACATTCATTTATGGGAAAACAAAGATTCTTAGCAATTTGGAATAGAAATAAATCTCCGTGACCTGATGATGATTAAACTTCCAGCAAATGTTATATTCAATGGTTAGGACAAACAAACTGACCAATGGAAGAGTGTAGAGTCCAGACACAGGCCAAATGTGTGTACAGTCAATCAACTTATGACAGAAGGGAAATGATAGATTTTCAATAGACAGTTCCAAGTCAAATGGATAGCCTTTTCAGAGAAAAAAATATCTAAATTGTTCCCAAATTGATTTTAAATACAAATGTAAAGATAAAAATAATATGGGTTTTAATAGTGTTCTTCATGAGTTTATTAAATAAGAAATAAAATGTTAATCATAATAGAAGTTGATTAAATTGTACCATAGGAACATTAAGAATATCTGTTTACTAAAAGGTCCATTAAGAGAGGCAATTTGCGTGTCTGTATGTGTCAAAGAAAGGACTTCTATCCCAAATATATAACAAATCCCTACAAATTATTAAGAAAAATACAGACAACATAATAGAACAGTCACTTCACAAAAGAGGATATTTAAATGGTCAATATGTGAAAATCTGCTCAACTTCACTAATTATCAGGAAAAATTATAACAACAAGACATTAGTACATGCATACAAATACTGCTCTGTGAAAGCATGGTCTGTTACTCTAAAAAGGATGCAGTTTTGGATGCAGAACTTTGAGAGCACTTACATGAGTGGATGTTAAGAAATATGAAATACATGGGCCGGCCCGTGGCTCACT